CTCCTCCTCCTCTTCGTCCTCCTCCTCCTCCTCCTCCTCCCCCTCCTCCTCCTTACCCCCTGTCGTGCGCGTTGGCGCTACAGCGCGCCTGCGCATCTCAGCGCGCACCGCATAATGGTCTATTGAATCGGCCCACTTAGTTCTCGGACGGCCAATTTACCTTGAGCCTCCTGGACGCAGATGGGAGGGGTTAGAGTGATGCGGGCGGACTCGGGAGGACTCGTAGATTCGAGCGGCGCTCCGTTGTCCATAAGGATTATGGTCTACTGCTTCTGTGGCATCCACAAGCGTTCCATTTTGTCATAAGGGTTTGTTCTAACATTCTATATACAACAATGGTGCTGTGTTGCACACGGTTGCTGTGGTGCACACAGGCAGTGCAATGCACGCAAGCATTGCGGTGTACACTGGTGTTGTGTTGCACACGGCTGATGTGGTGTACGCAAGCGCTGTGGTGTGCACAAGAGCTGTTGTGCCCGCGGGCACGGTGGCACAAAACTGACGCCGTGTTGCACGCGGCTGCTGTGGTGTACATAGGCGGTGTGGTGTACACAGGAGCTGTGGTGCACGCAGGCACTGTGGTGTACACTGGCGTTGTGGTGCATATCGCCACGTACATGCTGGCGCTCCCCGTCTTCCGTCATTCCTGGGAATTTCCATACGCCGCTGGCGCGAAACGTGACGTCATCGACCCCCTCCATAACCCCCCTAGATGATTGCCGTCATCGGCCCGGACAAAAAAACAGGCTTCAGCCGCGTCCGCGCGCACAACGACTATGAGCGACGAGCGACAAGCCACGGGCGACGACGACGACGACGACGACGACGACGACGACGACGACGACGACGACGACGACGACGACTGCGGACCAGACTCCTATGCGAATTCCTACGCGGACACCTACGCGGATCCCAATGCGCACGGCGGCAGTGCCCGGAGCACACTGTGGGGGGGAGCGTTACGTCACAGGGGGGAGGGCCTGACGACCGTCATGCCTCTAGCAATAAAGAAACGGTCTCTAGCCCTTTGGGCATTCAAGACCTTCTCATCCCCCCCTCCGCCCCGTCCTCCTCCTCCTCCTCCTCCTCCTTCTCCTCCTCCTTCTCCTCCTCCTCCTTCTCCTCCTCCTCCTCCTCCCTCCTCCTCCTCCTTCTCCTCCTCCTCGTCCACATGGTTCCAGCTGCCATCTCTCCTCCTAACTCCCTACCCCGTCCTCCCGCACCCCGCTTCTCTCATCCCTCCCCCCCCCATCCCAACACTGGCCTCCTTCTTCTCTCGCCTGCAACCTACTATCGCACCCCTTAGGCGGCGCTCGCAAGGGGGTGGCGCCAGGGGGGTGGCATTCTAAGAAGACCGGGGAAGCCAGAAGGTACCGATACCACAAGTTACTCCCTGGACCTCTCCCGGGGTGCGTTCTGACCAGAATTTCGAGGCGGGTCCAGCGGTGGTGACGAGGGCCTCCCAGGAGGCCCAAAAAGGGGAAAACGGAGCAAGGGTACATAGCGGTTGCTCCTCTGATCCTGGGAAGACGGGGGGGGCTCTACGAGGGCAGGGGCTGCTCAGAAGCCACTCCCGCTTCCGAGAAGCCTTCGCGGGAGCTTCTGGGGCCTTCTCGCAAGGGCCCTGCCGCCCAAAGAAGCCCCTCGCCTCTCCCCGGACGGCGGCCCCTCTCGCGCCACCCCGCTGTGTGCGCGACCGAGTCTGCGGCGGCCACTCGGGGGAGCCTCCCATACACCATCCTGTCGGCTCTTGCGAATCGACGCTAATCGACGCGCTAGATTGGCGCTAGATCGACGTGAAATCGACGCTGATCGACGCTAGATCGACGTTCATCGACGCCAGACGACGATAGATCGGCGCTACCTCATTGACTCCCAGAGGCCAATCGACGCTAGTCGACGCTAAAGACGGAATGAAGAGGGTATACCAAGCTTCCATGAGTACACCAAGCTTCCATGATTTGTTACCGGACAAGTCCTTTCTCGTAGGCTTGAGGGGGAACGGTAGGGTGGTGGACGAGCTCAGGGAGAAAACATCGAGCTTGAATCGGCGATACATCACAGACAGCTCGGCAATACGCCCTCGATTGCCAAAATCGCAAGCTCCTGGGCGGGGTGGGCTATCGGGCCCCTATCGGCGATCAATGGGCGAGTGGGGGGGGTGATGCATCCTACTCTGATCTGATCCCTTGGGGGCTTCAGGGTCATAACTCGGGCCTACGGCGGCCGTTCGGGACGACTCGGGCAACCCCGGAACGCTCTCGGCGAGGCGCAGCTGCTGACAGGCGTCCCGAGGCTGCAGAGTCGCCGAGAACAGACCGAAACGCCCGAAAACCTCTGATCTCGAAGTTTCGTCCCGCCTAGGCCTATCTAGAGGCCTCCTAGATGGGGTCGGAGTAGATAGGGTCGAAGGATCGCGACGTATCGCCGATACATCGGCGATACATCGGCGATGCATCGGCGATGCATCGTCGAGGCACCGGCGATGCATCGTCGACGTCAGCGATGCATCGGAGACGTCGACGTGAAGCACACCAGGCTGCACATCGAGACGCATCGACGTTGCATCGGCGATGCGGCGCAATCCTCTGACCCCATCTAGGAGGCCTAGACTATCCCGTCTAACGTTGCCCCTGAGGGCTGGCGGCAGGCGGGGAGGGGCGGGCGCCGTAACTGCCAGCGAGCTCCACCCGGAAACGGAGGGCGACGCTCCCGGGCTCCTGCGGCGGCGATTCGGTCGCCCGCTCTAGTCCCACTTGCAAAGAAGAGGAACAGGGAGGAGGAGGAGGAGGAGGAGGAGGAGGAGGAGGAGGAGGAGGGGGAGGAGAAGAAGAAGGGATGAGAAGGATGAGGGTAGAAGAGGAAGGACGAACGATGAGGAGGACGAGAGAGGAGAAGAGAGAAGGAAAGAGGATGAGAGGAGGTCAACAAGCCGAGAAGAATAAGAGGAAAGGAGGAGAGAGGATGAGGAGTAGGAACCTTTGGAACATGTGACTGAGCACAATGGGGTTACCAAAAGTGACAAAAAGAGGCCTCGTGACCTGTTTGCGACTTTGCTCTGATTAATTCCTCACTATGTTTACCAACCATCCTATGGTGTTGGGTCCTCGTTTTGAATACGCAACGCCCCGCGCACACTCCTTCCTGTCGCTGGCCCATCCCTGGCTCAGTCTCTGCCCCCCCGCATGTCACCATCATGTCATCCTCACCATCACCATCACCGTCACCATCGCCATCACCATCGCCATCATCATCATCATCATCATCACCACCACCACCACCACCACCACCATCATCATCATCATCATCATCATCGTCAGCAGCAACATCATCATCACCATCCTCATCAGCATCACCATCATCACCATCATCATCAGCAGCAGCATCCGCATCAACATCATCATCATCGTCATCATCGTCGTCGTCACCATCACCATCAACATCAACATCACCATCAGCAGCAGCAGCACCAGCATCATCGTCGCCATCAACAACAACGACATCATCACCAACACCATCATCAGCATCTTCATCATCACCATCCCCGTCATCAGAAGCATCACCATTATAATTAACTCCAGTATCCGCATCAGCATCAGCATCAGCATCAGCAGTACCCTCAACGTCATCACCCTCAATGTTATCATCAGAATCATCATCATCAGCCACATCATCATAAGCATCATCAGCATCACCATCATCATGAACATCATCATCGTCATCATAATCGTCGTCATCGTCACCATCAACATCAGCATCAGCATCCTCATCATCATCTTCATCCTCAGCACCATCATCATCCGCATCATCAGCATCATCAGCATCATCAACATCATCAGCAGCATCATCGTCAGCAGCATCACCATCGTCATCAAAATATCACCATCATTAGCATCATCATCAGCATCATAATCATCATCATCATCGTCACCGTCATCCTCCTCATCATCATCACCAGCAGCATGATCATCATCATTAGCATCACCATCCTCCTCAGCATCACCATCATCAGCAGCAGCAGCATCATCACATGCATCATCACCATCATCATTATCATCACCATCAACATCATCCTCGTTATCGTCGTCGTCGCCACCATCGCCATCGCTGTCATCACCATCGTCGCCATCATCATCACCATAGCTGCATCATCGTCGTCGTCTACCCTACCATCGGCACACCCCTCACGCGCGTCGTGGACCGATGGGGAGCTCCACGGAAGGTCCCAGTGGCCGCGCCCGCACGGCGCCACCCCGTACGTTTCGGCACAACCCTCGCGCGCTCCGTGACCCCGCGGGGATCCCCACCGCAGACCCCAGTGGCAGCGCCAGCAGGGGCGCCAACCCGCCAGCCCCTTTCGACACACCGCCAAAGCGTCTCGTGACCCCACCAGTGGGCCCAAGAGGCAGCGCCCGCATGGCGTCACCATGCACAATTCGGTACACCCCAACACATGTTCTGGTCCCTCCGTTGCCCAACCTGCACTGCGATACTCACACTTGCACATGATGGGGTCCTCCGCCAGAGAACTGCAGAGCCACGTCCAGACGCGGCTACGAAAGCTCCCCGAAGACAACAAGACCAACATTCTTCGTCCCTTCATCCCCGACAAGGGCATGCACTGCAAGTTCGTTCTGGGATGGACAGACCCCCCTTTAGTAAAACGTGGTTTAGTGAAAACGACCTGAGGCCCAAACCTGGCGGGCGCAAGCCTGGAAAATGACGGCCCCGGCGCCCCCTCGACAAGCGAAAACGGACAATTCACTAATCGACGTGTCACTGTTGGGGGTTCTGTCCACCCCCGATTCGTGTTGTGACTTGCGCGTGGGTTCCTGGCACCGCGTGGATCGGTTAACCTTGAGAACGATCGCGGTTGTCCGATCGCGCCGACCGCTCGAGATCGGTTGACTCCGGGCCGCTGGCGGCGTCCAACCCCGAACGCCGGGCGCGGGGGCCGCCGCCGAGCCCACACGGCGCGGACCTGCCGCGCCGCACGCCTTTCGCCAGGCGCGCGCGCGCGCAGCCAGCGGTCTCTCGCTCGCCGCCGCGCGCGCCCACGAGCAGCCCGGGGCTCCGGGCACGTCGCCGGCGGCGGACACCTGGCGCGGAGGCGCCCCGCGTGTGCGCCATGTCGGCGCACGGGGCTGCGCAGCCGGGGAGAAGGTCTCAGAACATTTCGTTGCTCGGCTGCACGCCAGGAGCGGCCCGTGGCAAGGAGTGGCCTCTGGTGCGCGGCTTCTTTTGGGGGGAGGCCGGGGGGGGGGGGTCGTCGAACCGCAGCGCGCCAGACGCTGCTGTCGTAGCAGGTTCGGCGATCGGGGGCGGGGGGGCCCGCACACGAGGTCGCTCCGACGAAAGGCCCCTCTTACGCGTGGCCGACTTTCGCCGGGGGGGAGCGGGTCCACGCGCGCGCTCGGCTCACGGGCGCGGGGGGCTGCGCCGGCGCCACTGCCGCCGCTGTCGCCGAGCCCCCCTTGGGGGATGCCCGGCGGCGGCGCCGGGGGCGCCTGGCGAGCTGCGGCTGCTCCTCCTGCCCGCACTCCTGCTCTGCGTCGTTCTCCTCGTCCCCTTGTCCCCCTGCTCCTCGTCATCGTCCTCGTCCTCGCCCTCGTGGTCCTCCTCCTCCTCCTCCTCCTCCTCCTCCTCCTCCTCCGCCTTCTCCTGCTCATCCTCAGCTTCCTCCTCCTACTCCGCCTCCTCCTCCTCCTCCTCTTCCTCCCCCTCCTCCCTCCTTATCCTTCTCTCCTCCTCCTCCTCCTCCCTCCTCGCCTCCCCCTTCTCCTCCTCCTCCTCCTCCTCCTCTCCTCCGCCTCCTCCTTCTCCTCCCCCTCCCTCCTCCTCCTTCTCCTCCCCCTCCTCCTCCTCCTCCTCCTCCTCCTCCTCCTCCTCCTTCTCAGGAGGCCCTTCAAAAAAGACACCGACCAGCCCCAATGCGAAAAAGGGACGAAGACAGGCCGTCACTCGAGGCCCCCTGTGCTCCCCCAGTCGTCTGGGCAACACTGGGAAATCAGAACTCAAACATACAGTCGGGCCGCTGAAAGAAGGAACGCTAAACAAAGAACGAAGCCCCTTCTCGGCCTTGCAAGCGCCTCCGTGCCCCAGGAGGGCAAGAGGAACAGCACTGGAGGAACCTAAGGAACATCGAGCCCCTTCCGAACCCAAACTGTTCCTTATTTCAGCGTCTTGGCTGTAGCCGAGCGAGCTCCACACAAATAATCAGGCACGCACGCCTTGCGTCTCCACAAGGGCCGAGGGCGATGGTGACTCTGCGTAGGCGCCTTCGGTATTGCGTTTCAGGGTGGCTCCTTCTCTCGTGGGGGAGGATGCGGCGCGGACATCAGCAAGCTACAGTCCCAACGTGAAGCGTGCTTGCTGAGAGCACTGTCAATGCTGGCTAGACTCGACCGTCATGGCACAAACTTGCCCCACCAGACTGATAAGCATGGCCGTGGTGCGAGGGGAACGGCACGAGACCCCGACCGCCTGCGTTGGCGCAGGGGCCTGTCGAGGGAGAAGGAGGGGAAGGGGGAGGGGTACAGATGGGCAGAGCAGGAGGGCAGGCAAAGGGGGAAACGAGACAAGCAGACAGATTGAAGGGGCCCTGGGACACGCAAATTAATACACACAAACAAAAAGAGTCCCCATGATTTCCCATATTTTCTGGGTTTCTGTATTCCCCCCCACTTCCCATATTTTCCCATATTTTCCTGGGAGTCGACGATTCATTGTGTCTGTGTGTTTTTTTCCCCTCCTGACAGATGTAAGCTCCCCGCGGCTGCACAATCACACGAGCGGGCAACAGACGGAGCGGGCAGCGACATGGAAGTGCACAAGGCATGGCGTGCTGCGTCACAATCCTGGAGCGCTGGGCCAGGGGGCGCAGCAGAAGGGGACACAACACCACTCTCTCTCTCTCTCTCTCTCTCTCGCTCTCTCGCTCTCGCGCTCGCTCTCGCTCTCTCTCTCTCTCTCGCTCTGCATCGTCGTAGCCTACCGGCAGCCGCTGCCCGAAGCCCGAGAGACACTGTCCAGCCAAACCCTTTCGAATGGCTCCCTGCATCGAGGCTCTTCCATGGTCTTCCGCGCGGTATTCCGTGCGGTCTCCTTCACGGTCTCCCGGGTGATCTCCTGTAGGATCTCCCCTACGGCCCCCCACACGGCCTCCCGCAGGGTGTCCCATAGGTCCTCCCTCGTGGTCTCCCTGCTAGTCTGCCTTCTGGTCTCACGCGACTGCTCTCTACAGCATTCTCCGTGCTACTCATGTCTGTCGGTTGTACTTTCAATACCGTTCTCTTCTGTGTTCGAAACATCTCCCTAGGGTTTTTTGTCAGAACGGGCGTCACTCATGTTGGCAACGAATTCTCTGCTTCGCAGTATACCTCCTCATCCACCTCTTCCTCCCACCATGCTAGGGTTAGGTCGGGCATGTCCCCCTACAGGCGGATTTTGGACGAACAATAAAAGATTGCCAAATCACACTCAAACATAGTCAAAACATGGTCGATAAATAGTCCCCAAACTATTTTAATCTACTTGCAATATCCCTCATGTAGAGGGACAGGCCCGACTTTATGCTAGGGTGCGATCTGGCCAAGATTTCGATGCGAGTTCAGCAGTGGTTACGAGGAGGCCCAGAGAAAGCCGAAACCGTCAGAAAAAAGTGTGTCATCGAGCATCGGCCCAGGATCCCTCCTACCTCCCCCTCCTCCTCCTCCTCCTCCGCCTCCTCCTCCTCCTCCTCCTCCTCCTCCTCCTCATCATCATCATCATCATCATCATCATCATCATCATCAGCAGCAGCAGCAGCAGCAGCAGCAGCATCATCATCATCATCATCATCATCATCATCATCATCATATCATCGTCGTCGTCGTCGTCGTCGTCGTCGCGTCATCATCATCATCATCATCATCATCATCATCATCATCATCATCATCATCATCATCATCATCATCATCATCATCATCATCATCATCATCATCATCATCATCATCATCATCATCATCATCATCATCATCATCATCATCATCATCATCATCATCATCATCATCATCACATCATCATCATCATCATCATCATCATCATCATCATCATCATCATCATCATCCTCACCTCCTCCTCCCCTCCTCTCCTCCTCCTCCTCTCCTCCTCTCCCCCTCCTCCTCCTCCTCCTCCTCTCCTCGCCCTCCTCCTCCTCCTCCCCTCTTCCCTCCTCCTCCTCCTCCCTCCTCCCCCCCCTCCTCCATCTTTGCCTCCTCCTCCTCCTCCTCCTCCTCCTCCTCCTCCTCCTCCTGCTTGAATCCGCGGCCCCCGCGCTCCTCCCTCCTCCCTGCACCCGCGGACGACGGCCCGGGCAGGGCCCGACGGACGAGGAAGAGAGAGGCGCCTCAACGCGGCACGCGCCAGACGCGCGCGACCCCGCGGTCCGGGTAGTCTATCTCCACCTGGGAAGGGGGCGCCAGCCGCCCAGGCCTGCACCGACTCCGGCCCAGCCCACCCCGTGCCCACGGTCGGCTCGGGGGGCCCGAAGGCCCCTCTGCGGTGACCTCGACCTCTCCGCAGACCCCACCGCACGATCCGTCACCGCGCGGTCTCGAGACCTTGGATTGGATGCTCGTTCTGGGGACCTTCCTGGAGCCACTCGCTCCACTCGTGCGTCGAAGCTGCGTCGAACGTCAGTCGATTTGGGTCGACCCTGAGTCGAACCTGAGTCGAACCTGAGTCGAACCTGAGTCGAACCTGAGTCGAACTTGAGTCGAACTTGAGTCGAACTGGGGTCGAACAGATCCGTTAGGTGGGCTCCAGGAAGGTCCCCGAAACGAGCATCGAACTTGGAGGTCCCAGCAATCGTCCGAGACGCCCTCGGAGAACTGCCCACGCCCCAGAACCGTGCGGCCACCCCTCGCCCCCGCTGAAAAAAAACACACACGGTGCGGTCCCCGCACCGACTGCGGGCCCCGAGGCATGGGCCCACGAGCGGTGTATTATACGCCCTCCTGCCTTGGCCTGGAGGGCGTGTACTGCACGCCGATCATGGGCCCAGGATGGGCTTGGCCAGGAGCGGTGCAGGTGTGCAGCTCGCGTCCTCCAGTCCACCAGCTCCGCGACAGTGTGGAGTTCTGGCGGTATGCACGCGGGCCCCCAGAGCGGAGGAACCAGGCACAGCGGTCCAGGTCAGCCTGATGCGGCGCATGACTTCCTCCAACTGGTGGGAACGAAGACTGCGAGGCAGAGCAGGAGGAGGAGGAGTGGGAGGAGGAGGAGGAGGAGGAGGAGGTGGAGGAGGAGAAGGAGAGAGAAAGAGGAGGAGGAGGAGGAGGAGGAGGAGGAGGAGGAGGAGGAGAAGGAGCTCAGCGACCAGCAGAATCAGGAGCGACTTGATTAAATGGTAGGGAGGGGCAGGACGCCCTGTCTGGCAAAAGAAATTACGGTAGCTGAAGGGAGCAGTCAGCAGCTCCACAGAATATGAAAGGCTACTCCTCACCTGAGAGGGGGTCCTCGAGACCCTGGCGGGCCATCGGTGGAAGAGGAGGAGGAGGACGACGACGACGAAGAAATAAGCAGCGCAGCACCACTGATCCGATGACATGCACCTGATTAGAAGACGGCCAGAGTCATCCAGAATGCAGAAGAAAGAACTGGTGTTCGTGTACCGCTTGATTGGGCACGAGCATCTGTGGAGGCCATGCTCGTGAATGACTCTGGCCACAACGAGGCCCCCACGAGGCGAGGAGGAGGAGGACGAGGAGGCCTCGGCTAGGATGAGCGCGAAGACCCCAGGTAGAGGCTTTCTGGCTGCACTGACCCTCTGCTGTCGGCGTGGCCTCGGAGTTGCTAAAGAGGGCCAATCGGCAAGCGATCATCGTCATCGTCATCGTCCCATCGTCATTGTTGTCATCACCATCACAGCCATCACCACAATCACCACCATCACCATCACCATCTCCATCACCATCAACATCACCATCACCACAACCATCCTCCTCCTCCTCCTCCTCCTCCTCCTCCTCCTCCTCCTCCTGGTCGTCATCATTATCATCATCATCACCACCTCCCGTGACCAGCATCATCAGCATCATCATAGCAGCAGCATCAGCAGCATCATTACTATCATCATCAGCATCATCATCAGCATCATCAGCAGCAGCATCAGCGTCATCATCATCGTCATCAGCATCAGCATCAGCATCAGCATCATGATCATCAGCATCATCATCGTCAGCATCAGCATCAGCATCACCACCATCATCCTCATTATCATTTTGATCCTCAGTATCATCCTCAGCCTCATCCTCATCATCAGCATCAGCCTCATCATCATCAACAGTATTACCAGACGTAATCAGAGTCATCGTCATCGTCATCATCGTCGTCGTCATCATCACCATCGTCGTCATCAGCATCATCATCACATCATCGTCAGTATCAGCATCATCATCAGCAACATCAGCCTAATCATCCTGAGCATCATCATCAGCATCATCATCATCGTCATCGTCATCATCATCGTCATAAACATCAGCATCATCACGATTATCATCATCAACGTCATCATCATGATCATCGTCGTCATCATAAGCAATATCATCATCATCCTCCTCGTCATCATCACCATCATCATCATCATCATCATCATCATCATTATCAGCATAATCATCCGTATCAGCAGCAGCAGCATCCTCATCATCAGCATCATCATACGCAACATCATCGTCAGCATCAGCATCATCATGACCATCATCATCCTCATCCTCATATTTATCCTCAGTATCATCCTCGGCCTCATCCTCATCATCAGCATCAGCCTCATCATCATCAACACGATTACCATAAATAATCAGCATTGTCATCATCGTCATCGTCATCGTCATCATCAGCATCGTCATCATCAGCATCATCATCATCACATCATCGTCATTATCAGGATCATTGTCAGCAGCAGCATCTGCATAATCATCCTCAGCATCAGCATCAGCATCATCATCGTCAGCATCAGCATCCGCATCATCATAATCATCGTCAGCATCAGCATGATCATCATCATCACATCATCATCATCAGCATTACTATCAGCATCCTCATCAGCAGCAGCAGCATCATCAACATCATCATCACATCATCATCATCCGTCCTCACGCTCCCTCCTGCTTCACCTCCTTCTCCATCCTCTACCTCCTGATCTCCCTGATCCCTCCTAATCATAGTCAAGTTCCTCCTCCTACTCCTCGAACTCCTCCTCGTTTCCCGCTGACGATGACGATGACGACGACGACGACGACGACGACGACGACGACGACGGTCGACGGCCAATACCAAGGGACGACGATGACGACGACGACTTTTTAGATTGCGCTGCTGAGCGTTGCTCGACGATGACGACGACGACGACGACGACAACGACTCACCAAGACCATCGATAACGAAGACGACGACGAACGACTTCCGACGACGCCATCGACGACAAACGGCCGTCGCAAAGGCGACAAGCCACCGACAACACCGAAGGACCGACGGTGAGCGACCGTCGACAAAGAAGGCGAAAGCCGTCAACGACGACGACGACGACGACGACGACGACGACGACGACGACGACGACGACGGTCGCCGACGACGACGACGACGACGACGACGACGACGACGACGACGACGACGACGACGACGGTCATGGTCGTGAGCGACGACTGGCCGACCGACGCCGGCCGACGGCTGCCCGTTGCTGGGTCGGCGTCAGCCCACTCTGGGATACGTGGGGCGGGGCAGCTCTGGCGGCGGGGCTGGGTCGTACCTCCCCGGCCGGCGCGGGGGGTCGGGGCGGCGGCCGCGAGGAGTATAGAGGAAAAAGAACTATGCACATGCACCGATTCTGGCCAGGACCATCCCGAGCCCAGGATCGGTGCATACGCCCTCCTACCTTGGCCAGGAAGGCATATGCACCGATCCTGGGTCAAAAATGGGCCTTGCCAGGATCGGTGCATGTGCATAATTCTCGTCGCCCGAGAGCAGGCAATCACGTATGAGCGACGAAAACAATGCGTCTTACGTGAGACGATCAGACCACTGCAGGGCAACCACGAGATCGGGTGAGGGCGTCTCGAGAATCTCTGAGGTCTGGCGGCTCTGGAGGATGTCTCGGGCGCCGCGGCCTTCTCAGAGCGTTCCGGAACGCTCTGCGAGCATTCCAGAACGCTCTGGAACGGATTTATCCTCGCCTGAGCCCCGTCCGAGATGACAGAGCGACCTCACGAGGTGGCTTACGCGGGCGGCCAGCGCGGCGCGCCAACCACATTGAAAACGTTGGGGCTCGTCTCTTTCTACTCGCGATCACGCCCGCGACTGGCCTGCCGGCCCCCCCCCCTCCCCGCCCCACCCCGCACACAGGTCCGACGCAACACGTTCGCCAACACGCGGGCCGCTGCGTTGGGCCAGCACGCACCCTATCGACGCGGACGTTTTAAGCACGGCACTGACTACCTACCAAACCACCCCAACCCAACCCGAAGACCCGAATTTCCGGTTGGGGGGGTAAGGGTTTCACATGTGTTTTTTCTATGTTTCCCGACCCCCCCCCACTGGAAATCGAGGGTAAGTCTGAGCCTTCGGGTTGGGTTGGGGTGGTTTGGTGGGTGGCGAGGCACGTGCTGCTTAGCAAGGCGGGCGCATCGAGGCAGCCAAGATGGGACGAAGCACGCCCTCCTGCCGCCAGGTGAAGCCCAGCGGGATAACAGGGGATGCGTCGACCCCTATCCCAGGCTCTGTGAGGTTTTCGAGAGGATCAACAATTTGGGGCCCAACCCTGGGATATACGAGGGGGGGCGCGTCCATCCTCGACAGGGGTGCGTCCGAATAGCCCCCTCGGGATGTATCCCAAGATTCCTCTCCTTTTCTGAGCGACCAAACTTTTCTGGCGGAAGTCGGGGATTGGGGGAGAGAAATCGCCTGCGACGGGAGGTGCTCGAGACTGGGGCCTCGAAAAGGGCCCGCAGGGGAGGCCCCGCGGCGCCGCGGGCGCGGGGCCCTCGCCGGCCCCCGCAGGCCCAGCTGAGCCTCCGACGGCCTGCGCGTTTGTCATCCCGGGCCCTCGCCCTCGCCTTCGGCCTCCGATCTCGGAGATCCCACGCTCGAGCAAAAAAATTGGAGCGGGCGGCTTTTGGAGAAGGTCCAGACCACTTCACCGGGACCGGTTTTTCGTCCTGAATCGTTTTTTGACGCTCCCGAGGCCCGGCGAGGGCCCCCGGAGGCCAAAAACGGCCAAAAACCGCCCGCTCCAATTTTTTTCGAGCGTCGGATCTCAGGGTCCAGACCTCCGGGGGGGCCACGTTGTGAAGAACCCACGGCGTCGGGCATGCCTGGGGGATCGTCAGCTCGCGCAGGACCTCGGCCAGGGCCCCCGCCGGGAGATGCCAGCCATGGTCGGCTCCACACGCAAGAGCGACCCTGGGTAAGAGTTGAGTCGGGCCTGCCCCCCTACGGGCGGATCTTGCGCGAAAAACGAAAGAGAGTCAAACAGTACCCCAAAATGGTAAAACATGCTCCACGAACCGTCCCATTTTGTGACCATGTTTGAAGATTCCCCCTGTAGAGGGACGTGCCCGACTGAAGGTGAGCGTGACCCTTGGTGCGCGACACTGTGCACGGATCCTCCCAGCAGAAACCAAGCTCGGCTGCGCTCTTGCACCGAGCCCCCATGCATCGTGCAGAAAGTAAACATGCATCACAGATTGAGGCAAACAGGACAGCGGTTTCGGGGCTGAGGCGAGGCGTCAAAAAGAGGAGATCAGAAAACCAGTCATGCCCATGTGGCGGGAGTTGGTGCGCGGCTTTTGACTACCTACCAGACCACCCCAACCCAACCCGAAGACCCGAATTTCGGGTTGGGGGGGGTAAGGGTTCCACGCGTGTTTTTTCGATGTTCCCCGACCCCCCCCCCCACTGGAAATTGACGGTAAATTTGAGCCTGGGTTGGGTTGGGGTGGTTTGGTGGGTGGTGATTTTGGGGGCCGCGCGGGGGGACAACAAACACCGGGGCGCGCAGGCCGCTGCTGCCGCGCAGCGCCCCGCGATCGGGGGGCCCCCCTTTGGGGCCCGCACCACAGGCCCCTCCGGCGAAGGGGCCCCCCATTGAACACGCATGGTTCATGTCCGAGTATTCGGAAGTTTTTTGAATCCCACCAGCCCTTTGGGCGTGAGTGGTTTAGAGGGCCCTCTCTGTTCTCAACCCCCCTTCTTCCCCTTCGGGGAGGGGTTTACCCCTCCCCCTCCCCCCTCCCCCTGGGCCTGGAGAGGGACCCCCGCGGGTGGTCAGAGGGGTTTTTTTCGACTCCTGGGAGGGCTAAAAAACGACGACCCTCACGAGGATTCTGGCCCCGACGGGGGGGCGGAGATAGGTCCCTCTCCTCTTCTTTGAAGCCAAAATCATTGATTTTACTACGGTTTTGGCCCCATTTTGGCCTCCTGAGGGGGCCGCGCTCATCTTCCTTCATAGCAAAATCATTGATTTTACGAAGGTTTTGGGCTCATTTTGTCCTTCTCAGGGGGCAGCGCTCCTTTGCGCTTCTGAGGAGGTCGCAAGAGGCCCCAAGATGGCCCCAAGAGGCCCCCAGGAGCCTCCCAAGAGGCCTCCAAGAGGCCCCCAAGAGGCCCCCAAGAGGCCCAAGAGGCCCCCAAGAGGCCCCCAAGAGGCCCCCAAGAGGCCCCAAGAGGCCCAGAGGCCCCCAAGAGGCCCCCAAGAGGCCCCCAAGAGGCCCCCAAGAGGCCCCAAGAGGCTCCAAGAGGCCCCCAAGAGGCCCCACGAGGAGCCCGAACGACTCACACCAGGACGAGGGGCCCGAACGACTCACACCACGAAGAGCCCGAACGACTCACACCACAAGGAGGGGCCCGAACGACTCACACCAGGACGAGGCGCCCGAACGACTCACACCACGAGGAGCCCGAACGACTCACACCACGACGCGGGCCCCGAACGACTCACACCACGAGGAGCCCGAACGAGTCACACCAGGAGGAGGGGCCCGAACGACTCACACCAGGATGAGGGGCCCGAACAACTCACACCACGAGAAGCCCGAACGACTCACACCAGGACGAAGAGCCCGAACGACTCACACCACGAAGAGCCCGAACGACTCACACCAGGAAGAAGGGCCCGAACGACTCACACCAGGACGAGAAACCCCAAACGACTCAAATCACGAGGAGCGCTTTCTCTCCCTCCTCCTCCGCCTCGTCCTTCTCCCGCTCCCCCACAAGGAGGATGTACAAGGAGGCGGGAGGAAGGAGGAACAGGGGAGATATGCGGGGCCAAGCGGACACACGCCTGAAAAACACGACTGTCGGCATGCTTCGCAAGAGTTGCTGCTGTGAGATGGGCTGGTGGGGATACGCGAAGCGTAAAGAATTTTCTGGGGGGCCAAGATCCTCTCATTCCTGATGGTTCTATCCTGGGCCTCTTCCTGGCCAGCACGGGGCCCAGAACCATCCGAAGCGAACAAAAATCAGAAATGAGCACGACCAGACGTGAAAGACGTGTAACTAATGACGCGTAGCCGATACCGACCAGGTCCCCCGGCTTGCCCAGAGGTCTCCGGAGCACCCGTCATCAGAGCCCCACCCCCACGAGGCTCCCGGGGGGGGCCCCGGGGGCTCCCAGATGGCGCGCACACCCGGGGAGACCCTGTGAAGCGCCGCGAACCCAGACCCCCTCGAGTAATGAAAAAATCATGACGGGAGGTTTTTCCTACTTTTCGGCCTCTGGGGGCCCTCACCGGGCCTCGGGAGCGTCAAAAAACGACTCAGGATGCAAAGCCGGTCATGGGGAAAGGGTCGGGACCTCTGGGGGTCGACGTAATGAAAAAATCATTACGTCGGGGGTCTGGGAAGCGGCATCGACCTAACGTCCTGGAGGCCCGCGAGGACTTCTTGCATCGGCGCGGGGCCGCCCGCCCGGGCGCGCGGAGCGCGCCGCCGGCGCCGCCAGGGGGGCCCCCAGCAAAGATCAGAGAAGTCCGCGCGGAACTCCGCGAACTCACGCAAGCGGCCCAGGGAGACACAGGCCAGCGGCGCAAGATCACGGACTCCAAGATGTGTGTCTGCGTCCATATACGTGTAGAGCTCGTGCTGAGCTGGTCTTCTTCGGACCGTGGGGCCAGGGCCTCTGCCACTGGCAGCGCCCGGCCTCGGAGGCCCTCGGGGCCGGGCCGGCCGCGGCGTTGGGGCGGCAGGGGGTCGAGGGGTCAGAAATCGAGCAGCGGGCATCGAGCATCGGGGATCGAGGGTCGGACCTCGAGCACTGGGGGTTGGAGGATCGGGCTCCGAGGGTCGAAGAGCGAGCTTCGGGGAAGGGGGGCTCTGGCATCGAGGACCAGAGCTCGGTGTGTGTGTGTGTGTGTGTGTGTGTGTTTGTGTGTTTGTGTGTTTGTGCGTTTGTGTGTGTGTGTGTGTGTTTGTGTTTGTGTGGTTGTGTGGCTGTGTGTTTGTGTGGTTGTGTGGTTGTGTGGTTGTGTGGTTGTGTGGTTGTGTGGTTGTGTGGTTGTGTGGTTGTGTGGTTGTGTGGTTGTGTGGTTGTGTGGTTGTGTGGTTGTGTGTTTGTGTGTTTGTGTGTTTGTGTGTGTGTTTTGGGCGTTCTCGGGCGCCCGTCCGTTGAGTCCTCCTGAGCGAGCATCACTGCATCACCTTCCCTCGCGCGGCGTCGCGCCCCGCGATGCGCGGCTATCTGCACGCACTCGCGCGAGGCTGGCGCAAGAAGAGCAACCGCTCCGGCCCAGGCCGCGGCGCGCGAAAGCGCGACGCGCGACGCGCCATCCTCCTCGCGCCCCCGCGGACGACCCAGGAGGTGAGGACCCAGGGGAGTGTTTTTATTCGGCGTTCCGACATTGGGCGGAAAAAGGTTGGGAAGGGGGGGGTCCCAGGAGGTGAGGACCCAGGGGAGTGTTTTTATTCGGCGCTTCGACATTGGGCGGAAAGGGGTGAGGAGGGGGGGTCTGGCTCCAGACCTCTGCTTAGTGCGACTGTTTTCGACAGACTGTCCTGCGGGGAGGGATTCAACCTGCTCGAAACAGGCGCCAAAAACAGCCAAGATCTACTCCAGGGGGGGGGAGGGGTGGTTTCGGGGCCGCGCCGAATCGGCGAAAGAATTAGCAAAAAAAGATCACCAGGCTTTCTGGCGTTTGGGCGCCTCCGACGGGGACCTCCGGCGAGACCTGCGGTGAGGATCTTTTGCCTACAGCGTGACGGCACGGCGGTCCCAGCGACACGCCACGCCCTGCGAACGAATCGCGTGTCGCTCCGCTCCGCGGGACGGGAGGAGGCCAGGAAAGGCTCTGGACGCTGTGGCGCCTGGGGACCGCGAAGTGGACACGCACCGACGCAGCAGGCGACCAGGGGGGGGAGGCACCGCGGCGGGGCAGGAGCGAGCGAGCCCGGCAAAGGGCGGCAGAGGCCCGCCGGGGTGAGGCGGCGGGCCCCGCGGGGGCAGGCAGGCAGGGAGCCGAGCCTCGCGGCCGAAGGGCGCGGCGGGGCCCCCGCCTGGGGACTCATCGCGCCGAGGCGGGGAGGGCCAGAGCCAGCGGAGCGACACGCTGTTCAAAGAGTGCCTTCGGCGCGGCACGCGCCCTTCGGCGGCCGTCGGCGGCCTCGGGAGGCTCTTCGGTGGGGCGCGGGGAGGTCGGCGGTCGTCGCCGTCGCCGTCGCTGTCATCCCCGTCGCCGTCTTCGTCGTCGGCGTCCCTATCGTCGTCGTCGTCGTCGTCGTCGTCGTCGTCGTCGTCGTCGTCGTCGTCGTCGTCGTCGTCGTCGTCCTCGTCGTCGCCGTCGTCGCCGCCGTCGCCGTCGCCGTCGTCGTCGTCGTCGGCGTCGGCGTCGTCGCCGTCGTCGCCGTCGTCGTCGTCGTCGTCGTCGTCGTCGTCGTCCCCATCGGCGGCGTCGTCGCCGTCGTCGCCGTCGCCGTCTTTGTCGTCGGCGTCCCCATCGTCGTCGTCGTCGTCGTCGTCGTCCGTCCCATCGTCGTCGTCGTCGTCCCCTCCGCCGTCGCCGTCGTCGTCGTCGTCTTCGTCGTCGCGTCCTATCGTCGTCGTCGTCGTCGTCGTCGTCGTCGTCCGTCGTCGTCGTCGTCGTCGTCGGCGTCGTCGTCGTCGTCGTCGTCATCACACGCGCCCCGACGTCCGAGGAGAGCGGGGAGGCAAACGGGCCGAGCGGCCCGGCGGGGAGCCCGCCGGCGGCCGCCGGCGGAGGCATGCGGCCGACCCGGCCTCCGCGCCGTGGGCGCGCCCCTCCCGGCCTCGCCAGGCCGGGGTCCTCCTCCTCCTCCTCCCTCCTCCTCCCCTCCTCCTCCTTCCTCCTCCTCCTTCCTCCTCCTCCCTCCTCCTCCTCCTCCTCCTCCTCCTCCTCCTCCTCCTCCTCCTCCTCCTCCTCCTCCTCCTCTCCTCCTCCTCCTCCTCCTCCTCCTCCTCCTCCTCCTCCTCTCCTCCTCCTCCCTCCTCCTCCTCCTCCTCCTCCTCCTCCTCCTCCTCCTCCTCCTCCTCCTCCTCCTCCTCCTGCCCGCTGCTCGCTGCACGCCCCGCCCCTGCGCGAAGGGAGGGCGATCTCGAGGCGGCGGCAGCTCGACATCGGCCCCCGGGGGGCCCACGGGCGCCAGCCTCCCGAGCCCGAGTCCAGCCGTGGCGGCGAGGGGGGCCCCCGAGGGTGCCTCGACTCGCCCTCCTCTGACTGACACTTTCTGGAGAGACCCCCCCGCGCCGTCCCGGTCCCTCCTGCGCCTCGGGCCTCTCGGCCCGCGCTACTCGGCCCTTCGGTTCTGTGCTGTGGGGGGGGCAGGGCCTGGAACAGCTGGCCGCCTCCCAGGGGGCCAGACCCCGAAGAGCTGGCCGCCGCGTCGAGCCGCTCGGAGTTGGCAGGGGTCCGGCTTCCGCCCCGCAGGCGAAGGGGAACCACAGCCTGCAGCCCGCCCGCGGGGGAGGGGGGGCAGGGACCTCGCGATCACGCCGCCGTCCCGCGTGAAGCCTGGGCGCCGTGGCTTGCTGGAGGAGGGGGAGTCGCGATGCCGAGCCCAGCACTCGCGCTCCTCCTCATCCCCGCCCTGCAAGGTTGCGCTCCCTCTTCCGAGCCGCTTCCTCTTTCTCCTCATGCTGCTCCTCGACCGCCACACCTACTCGTGGGCGCTGGGCGCTGATGGCATTGAATCCATGGTTGGAGCCGCCACGTCCACCTCCTCCTGCTCCTGCTGCTCCTCCTGCTCCTCTTCCTGCTGCTCCTCCTCCTCCTCCGCCTCCTCCTTCTCCTCCTCCTCCTGCTGCTTCTCCTCCTCCTTCTCCTCCACTCTTTTTCCTCATGAATAGCACCTCCCTGTCGCACCCCCAGACGTGTCTGTGGGGCGGGCCAGGCGTTTCGCCGGACACTTACTCCCAAATTATGATCCTGAAGCTTAAACTTTGCAATAGCTTCACGGATGTATGGGGGCCTTTTCAAAATGTGGTTCTGGCCCTGGCGTCGCGCGCATTCGTTGCAAAAGAATGCAGCAACATCACGGATGAAGGGGGCTGGCTTTCAGAATGCGGCCCTCGCCTAAGAGCCACACACATGCGACGGTTTCACAGATGGACGGATGGAGGAGGTATAGTTTTCAACATGTTGCTCTCGCCTCAGCGCCGCGCAAGTCGTCTTGAAAGCTTGCGACGGCAACACGGATGGAGGGGGTGGCTTTCAAAATGTGGCTCTCGACTCATCGCCATTCACATTCGTCTTAAAGCTGGTAACGGTCTCACAGATGGGGAGGGGGCTGGCCTTCAAAATGTAGCTCTCGCCTCAGCGCCGTGCAGCGCACACTCGTTGGAAACATGTGCAACAATTACACGGATGGAAGGGGGGGAGCGCGTTTTCCATATGTGACTCTCGCCCAGGCACCGCGCAAATTCGTCTAAGAAGCGTGCAGCAGGTTCACTGGTGTAGGGGGGGGCGTGTTCAAAATGTGGTTCCCCCCTCAGCGCCGCACACACTCTTCCTTAAAATGTGCAACGGCTCCAGGGATGGACGGGGAATCAAAATGTGGCTCTCGCCTTCGCACCGCGACAGCCGGAACAGTTCGCACTAACTTCACGGATGGCAAGAGGGTCCTTTGCAAAATGAGGCTCTCGCCGCGCCGGCGAACATTGGTTCGAAAACCGTGCAACTGCCTCAAGGACTGAGAACCGGTCGACTTCGAAATGGTGCTCTCGCATCAGCGCCGCCCGCATTCGTTTTTAATCTAAAATTTCGCTTCATGGAGGACTGCCATTTTTCAAAATAGACCTCTCACCTGAGGCTTCCGCTGAATCCAACGACAAACAACTTCAACGAACGTAGCGGTGCACGATGTCGCGTGAGGCTTCCTCGAAGTTCATGGCCGCAGGGGTAAGCTTATGCAGCAACTTCACGGATGGGGGGGTCATCCTTCGAAGAGGGATCTCGCTGGACACCTCGTTGATGCTGCTCGCGCTCCTGATCCAGCGCCAGAAACTTGGAAAACTATTCTCTTTCAAAGCGGTGCCCTCGCCAAAATGGTGAAACAAACCGTGCTGCTCTATCAAAGGGGGGGTGCGTCTTGCAGTGAAAAGGAAGGGTTTGTAGGGGTGTATAGGAGGGGACTTCGAACTAGAGGGTGTATCACAACACCGCCAATACATCTTTGGATTGTCCTGGTCATCCGCCTCCTCCTCCTCCTCCTCCTCCTCCTCCTCCTCCTCCTCCTCCACCTCTCTCCTGCTCCCCCTCTACGGCCCCCTCCTCCTCCTCCTCCTCCTCCTCCTCCTCCTCCTTTTCATCATCCTCCTCTTCCTCTTCCTCACCCTCCCCCTCCCCCCTCCTCCTCCTCCTCCTCCTCCTCCTCCTCCTCCTCCTCCATCTCCTATTGCTCCCCTGCCTCCTCCGACCCCTTCCCCCACCCCTCCTTGTCCCCCTCCTCCCCCTCCTCCCCCCTCCATCCTCCTCCTCCTCCTCCTCCCCCGCATCGTCCTCAGCGCCACCGTCTTCATCCTCAGCACCGTCATGCCCAGGACTATAACAATCACCACGACCATCGGCACCGTCCTCACCCTCCTCCTCACCCTCATCCACATCATAGCCACCACCGCTCACCCTCCTCACTGCGCCGGCCTTGCAGACGTGCTGCAGCGGACTGTTGCGTGGATTCATGTCAATGCAAAAACCCGAGATGGAAAACGAAATGGATGTCGCTTGGCTGTGTTTCAATATCCATCCCTGGCCACAAACAATCCGCACGAGGTTCACCCCGAAATCCGGAACGACACTCTCCAGGACTGTCCAGGCCCACCCTGTCGTCTTCCGAACAAAATCCGCTCTGCGATGTTGTCGCCACGACCCTCCTCCTCCGCGCGTGGCGGCGCGCCGAAACCGCGCGGACTCTGCGGCGGGTTCCGCGGGGACGCCGCGCGCACCAGGCTGCGCACGTCGACGCCTCGGCTCGTCGGGCCGCGCCGCCGCGACGAGCGAACGACGGGACGACGACGACGACGACGACGACGACGACCACGACGACGACGACGGCACTGACGACGACAACATCAACGATGACGATGGCACTGACGACGACGACGACG